TCTACAATGTTTGTGTGAATATTAGCATGTCTTAATAAATAACACAATGGTAAGTAGAGTTTGCGAATCATCAAAAACTAAGTAGTCTGTAAAAAAACATCATTACAAAAGCCTATCGACATTCCTTTAACAACAGTCATCATCATCAGCTCATTATACGTCCCCAACGAGGGGCTTGGAGCCTACCCTAAGTTAAGGGTGACTAGGCCACAGTCAACCACGCTGGCCTAGTGCGGGTTAGTTGACTTCACACATATCTTTGAATTGCTTCTCAGATATGTGCAGGTTGCATCACGATGTTTGTAACAACAGTATGATTTGGAAATTATTTAAATAGTGGAAATTCTCACCGTGAGTTTCTAAGACTAAAATCTCACTTTGAAACATATTATTATCTCTGTTTCTGACACAGATAATGACAGTGATGATATGTTTTAAGCAGATATTTTATTCCCAGAAAGCAACAGTTAGTAATATAAAAATCTCTTGTCGAATATTGAGTTCCGTTGATAATGTTATTGATTGTTATGTCACCTTTGTATTTTTTTTATCTTGCATTTAAAAATCCGTGACCCTTGCCAATGTCACTGAACAAGGAAATACATGTTGCGATTTAAATACAATACGCGTACATACAATATCGTGCAAAAGTACTTCGAAATGTTTCGCCGAAAAGTTGACGGATGCCGAAACTAGAGCGTGTAGACTTACACAATATTTGTGAATAAAGCGGTTATTATTTTTTACACCAATTTTATATACGAAATAGTGAATATTTAAATATAAAGTTAAATAGTTTTTGCTTAAATTAACGGACATAATTGGACATTTTAAATAGACACAAAAGGTAGATCTGGTACAACAAACTGCACTAAGTAATTGCTTAAGTCTACTCTAAGTATTACAGTTGGAATAGGGGAAAAGCAAATAATTAAACGCGATTTAGTATTTAAAATTATACATTTTTGTAAACAGAAGGTTTTACTTTATAAATAATCAAGAATCCGTAAAAATACTTAAAAGTGTAAGTCGTTTTTTTCGTAACAAATTAATGCGAGTAGAAATCTTCACAGTTCTTTATCAGATGGTAACGCGGTAAAAGCGTCTATTTTGCATTTATCATGCCATCTAAATAAAATTAATTATGTTATAATTAAGGTTACAGTCGCCGTATAAATTATGTCTAGTCATTGTAGCAAAACCTCTTTACGCGATTGCGGATTTTTCAACTAACATTATGAAACACATTTCGAAATTATATTTTATCAACATAATACCTTTAAAATGTATTGTTTTTTGTTATTATTTGTGTTATCCAGCCAGCAATATAGAAAAAATAATATGAGAAGTTTGTACAAATTGGAATCACAAATCAAAAATGCGATCCGTTTCAAAAATAGGATAAAACAAGGGTTATTTCGTTATTCTCTCAGAACATTAAAAAAGAGGCAGTAAGAGTAAAATGAGTATATAATATTGCTTTGCTGCATATCTTCATGCAAGCGCTAAGTCTGTAAGTATGTAAGTAGTCTACTTACTTATATTATAAATTCGAATGTTTAGATGGATGTTTGTTTGAAGGTATCTCCGGAACAGCTGATCGGATCTCGATGAATTTTGGTATAGATGTAGAACATAGTCTGGAAGAACACATAGGCACTAATTAGTTTCTCCATGCGGACGAGGTTGCGGGCGTCAGCTAGTTTTATAATAATATTCGGTAATATTACAAAGGTCACGTCTCAATTTATATGTCGTACGTAACTTGAACTTGATGTAGTTAGCTTCGTGACACATTAGCCGCGGGCGCACCTCGACCAATCTATCAAGCCGCGTCAAGAATGACCGATCCCTTCACTACATATTTGATAGAGAGAATTTTGTTGCCATTAGTTACACTTTATAACAACGTAGTTTGTTGAGTGTTCAAATTGTAGTTGAAGAGCGGCTGGAAACCATTTACTTGTAACTGTACATAATATTATATAACTTAAGTATATTATGTATACATAAAAGCAGTTAAAAGACCACTCTCACCAATAGTAAATAAAAAAAAATAACAAATGACATTTTAAAAGAGTAATTTACACATTTATATTTTATTTAAACAATTATTTATATTTTTCCATCTCTATACGAAATTGTTGAAGTCAATATAACATAAATTAACATTCCTTGATTTATGTTACTATACCAACGCGTTTCTTAGTGTCTGTTTCCATTGTCAACGCTTCCAGAATAACATATTTGTTATCCCTTTCATTACCTTTGGAAAAAACAAAGACTATATACTATATTTATGTTACAAACACGGCAGTGGAATTTCACGGTTTCCAGACACTGTTCGCTATCTCTGTGTGCTGTTTGTTATCATTTCAATGAAAGCTACGTAATTATTAATATTAAATACACAAACAATGCAATGCTAATAAGAAAGATTTACGGCTTTTAGTGTCGTTAATCTGATTTAGAGCAACATAAATCATCGATCAATGTAACAATTGTACTAAATATTTTACTTCTTACTAATATAAACGCGAACGTTTCGATGGATGGATGTTTTGTTGTAAAATATTAGCAGATTTTTTGTAAATTTACTAATATTTCTTATACCATTCCAAATCAGCTTTAGGCTTGTGCTAGGATATGGTTTACGACAATAGTCGATTGGCGGGATTCGAACCCCCGACCTCGTGTTCGGAAATCCGTACCCTTAACCATTAGGCTATTGACCTTTGTAAGAAGGTGTTAAAGGACTCCAGAACGGCTTAAAGGATCTCGCATTCGGCATAGATGTAGAACATAGCCCAGAAGAACATATAGGGTACTTATTAAAGTTTTTTTTAATTCCTCGCGGACGGAAACGCGGGCAGCAGCTATACAAGTACGCCATTTAGTACATAATGTAATAAGTATTGTAAAGACCAAGAATAACAAAAGTAAATCATTTATCGTAATGTTTACGTATATAAAAACTGGGCGCTGCTTTTTAAAGTTCAACGCCTCCGTCTTTGTTCAGTGAAACGTTTATTTTTTGTTTTTCTACGATTTCCGCATTGTCGGACCACATTCTTGTAATTTATTTATGTCACGCTGTTGTGTTGGCTCTGAAATGATATGTTGCTAATTTTTAACAAAATGATTGGTAAATATGTTATTTTAACAGTGGACCTAGACGAATATTTTTGACAAGCGCCATTGTATCATCGATAAAATTCTTATTAAAATTTGTGTAACGCCCCCTATTGGGTGTAACGGACACTAAACATCTCACACTAATTTTACATGATTGACGATAACGATGGTGCGATTGTCGTATATTCATATGTTCGTGCTAGGACCACTGATGATTCTTTTCTTTTGAACCTTCTTTTGAATTAGTTCCAATTCGGTAAAAACCCACCTGAAGATAGACTGACACCATGTCGTTTTAAGCTCATAGGGACAATTATATATTTATTTATATGGATAATAAAACAGAGATAATAAAATGATTTAAACAGGGATTTAGGTCTCAGAAATCCACGGTAAATAGTGTAACATTTTAGTTTCGACTTATTACATATAGATTTTATATAATAAACTATATTGTTTATTATTTTGAAAACCTGTTGTAATTCTATTCATGTAATGTGGCATTCCTTTCAGGTTTCTATTACGTAGATATTAAACAATAATAAATCTATTAAAAACCATTTATATCAAAATAGTGAGGTTACATAACGTAACTTATCACTGGCCGATTAATAGAACGGAAATTCTCTTAAGGTGAATATACACTAGAGCATTTTCTCGAGCATATTATAATATAACTTTCTTACGAACTTTATACAGGTAAAAGCAGAGTTTCCAAAGCACTTGTGACAGGGTGATGATACACAAGATTACAGAGCGGCTCCTTTTTCTTTTACAAGTAAATGCCCTAGTGTATTCTCGACTTTAATATCAATAACAATAAGCGCAGGTAAAAAATATTCATCACTTTAATAAATCTTTCTTTTATACAAAGAAAACTGTTACGATCCTATTTTAATTGACGATAGCAGTAAACGGCGTGATTCGCATGTAACAGGACAGGACAAAACTAAGAACAGAAGAGAAGAATATTTATTTATATCAAAGTAACAGCCTAAAAAATAAGTTTCAAATGCAAAAATGACGATATTTCCATATAAATTTCCAACCTCTTTTTCGTGTTAAAAAATTAGCTTATGTCTTTTCTCAGGCTTTTCTACACTATCTGTGTACCAAATTTCATTTAAATCGGTTCAGTAGTAAAAACTACAAAACTGCAAAAGCGTGAAGAACAGACAGACAGAGTTCTTTCACATTTATAATATTAGTAAGGATAAGGGATTTTAAGGTAAGAGTGAATAGTGAGTAGAAATAAAACACTATTTATATTAATAAGTATTGCATTTTATTAGAATATACTGATCAGTGAATATACTGAAGAGCGTCGGTGGCTCAGTGGTCAAGCACTTGACTTGCAATCTGCAGGTCCTGGGTTCGAATCCCGCCATGTACCAATGTGTTTTTCGATTTCCGATTTACATATGTACATTTATCCGACGTTCTTACGGTGAAGGAAAACATCGTGATGCAACCTGCACATATCTGAGAAGAAATTCAAAGATATGTGTGAAGTCAACCAACCCGCACTTGGCCAGCGTGGTTGACTATGGCCTAATCACCCTTAACATAGGGTAGGCTCCGAGCCCCTCGGTGGGGACGTATAGTGAGCTGATGATGATGATACTGATCAGTAAATACAAACTATGGCAAGAGTAAATCTCATTAAAGTTATGTCATCACAAAGCTCAGATCTATAATACAGCTCGAAATAAATTATTATATTACGAAATAATAATTACAATGTAAAACTAAATTATTATAAAATATCTAAAAAATTATCTCAGTTTAAAAAGGAATACGTATGATTTATTACAATTTTTTAATCATTTAAAAGTTATATACCTAGTATATATACACAGTTACTTATATAAATAAAGCCGTATCACCGAAATCATATAAAAAACCAAAAGTACGCATATCATTTTACAACTTATTAGTCATAGCCATATATCAATGATAAAGTATAAAAATAGGAATATCAAAAGGTTTCTACGGAGTCTGATTCCAGTCCCGGGAAATCTTTCGGCTTTTTGCTGGCAAGGTTTACTCCAGCGGTTTCAACTAGTGCAACTTAGAAGTACAAGCGCTTTCAATTCATCGTGCTCTTCAAGCGCATCATGTAGCACGATTTAACATCTATATGCCAGGGCTTTATGCCAGAGAGAGTGGCCGCAGAGCTTCACTTGACTTTAAGATTCATCTTCATTTATTAGGTGGAAAGTCTAGCGTGGTATAGGCCGGTCTGGTTCGAGGCACCGGCGGTCTGCGAGGTCTCGGGTGAGTCTTTCCACCTTCAGTGACCGGTTTTAATGCTACCGCCTCCCCTTCTTCAGGCAAATACGGCGTTCTCGGGTTCAAAACTAACGCTTTATACGATGAATGTGAATCTGCGATACTCCTTCCATCCCCTTCGTCTCTACGGGATAGTTCAGAAAATGGGGATACCGATCTTTTCTCTATCCCGCTCGGTCCAGGGGTTTCTTCTTTAGGTTTTAATTCGTAAGCGTTTTCTTCATTTCTTTTAGGTTCATCTTTCTTGAACTTCGCTTGGCGCTCGATTATTTCAGCAGTAGTAAGGTCCGAACCTTGCACGTCTGTTTCTAGTGGTGGTGCTGATAGCCAAGGTCTTGAAGCATTACTACTGCACCACCTTTCTTCATTTTCGCTAGTGTCACCTAGAAGTCCGAGCTTTTCTAAATTTTGCAATAGTAGGTTTTCGCTGGAACTTGCAGCTCGCATTTCTGTTTTTGATTCCTCTGCTAGAAGCAACTCGGCTAAAGGCGGCGCGAGACCCAATCCAATATTTCGCTCATGATATACTTCGGAAATAGTCGGCGTAAGTTCTCCACTCATATGACGAACTTGGGCCATTGAATCTCTGCTGCTTGAACTCATTTTACTTCGTGTGACTCTCTTGGAAGTCGAGGGCTGGTTCAATGCTTGATCGGGCTTTTCTTCCTCAGTTCTGCGAGGTTGAGCAGACGCTAGATCGTAAAATGCATCCAAATATCTTGTGTGGGAATGTTCGGGTCGTCTGCGTAACACAGTATCGTGGCCGGAACTTTCCCAGTCCGAGTCATCGGTTGATGGAGGTCTTCTAGTGTAGAGAGTTCTGATCTTAGTCTGGTGCGCCAGGGCAAGAGATACGTCTCGTTGTGGCGCTGTTGATGTGGAGGGAGGAGCGGCGGGTGGTGACGGTGTAAATGCGGCATCGCTCTCACCGCGGTACCTGGGCGGGGGCGGCGCAGGGGGAGGGGCAGTTCTGCCGTCAGGTTCCCCTCGACCTACTTCAGTATTGGACGTGGACCCGCGTACGTACATAGTGAAAGCACCACCGCATGATCCCAATGGCAGAGGAGGTGGTGGAACTGAAGATACGCTTTCTTCTGCAAGTGAACAATAGGACGATTAGCAAAAGTATTTAAAGCAAAAAGACACAAGTTCAAAAAAAAATGGGAGTAAAAAAATATAAACGTGATGAGAACAACTTACGTCGATGTTGTCGGGGCGGTGGTTCGCCGTCGGAGTGGGGCTCCAGGTCGCCGTCGTCGATAGAAGCTAAAGATTCCACGCTTGAGCTGGACTCCAAGCTGAGACTCCGTGGAGCTTCTTGAGTATCTGATTTTAAAAATGTAAATGAATTAATTTTAAGTCATTTTCTCTTATAGAGCTTCATTCAACAAATAAGTAGATAGTAAAATAGCATACCAAAGAGAGCCAATAAAGCTTGCAGCACGAATTGTATGTGCCTTCTATTGGCCGTTTTGCCTGTGCGGAGAGTCACTTCGTCTTGTCCTACTTCTGCAAGATCGAAGCCTAACGATGCTAATAACTCGTGGCAGCCGTTTACTCGCCAAAGCCTAAAAAAAAGTAATTATTAATATCTCGACAAAGAACAGTTAATTAAAAGCCGGCACTTTGATATACAAACCTAACATTGACGGCGACTTCAATGGTGTCACTGTCGGAGTTCTTGACGGAAAATTGAGATATGACAGAGCGGATGACACCAATAATGTCATCTGCCACATCTCCATTTGAAATCAATTTCGAAAGTGCCTGCAGTGTGGTGGGTGTTAAACCTGAAAAATAGAATTAGAAAAAATTATTGACAATTCTTTTGTTTGTCACTAAACCTACATATCCTCCATATATTAAGTATAAATATAATATCATACCAAGTAAAGCTTGTAAGCTGGCTGAACATTGAGTTAGTCTTTCTTCGGGATCACTTTGAGGGAAGAATACGCTTGACGGTATGCCGTTCGCCGCTGGTTCAAACCTAAGATAAACGTAGAAATTTAGACCTAAACTTAAGACTTGTAAACCTTTTTTGCCACTGCACATGTTGTACCGTAGGAATAGAACAGGAATATGTTTATATTTAATTGCTTACGCTTTAATCATAGGAATCAAATGTGTACCTGAAGCCAACGCTCATGAGCAGCTCCCGCCAGCCGGCGGTGGAGCCCGCCTTGTTCTCGATGCTCTTCTGTGTCGTATACATCGCATTCTTCTGCCCCCGCACTATCCGCTGCAGAGACTTCTCTACCAAATGCAGGCACACGCGGAGTGCGTCCCTAAAACATGACAATTATGTAAAGCATTTTATTACTCAATAAATACTTTAAATATTGATGCTTCTTAAGTATACGGAATTATGAAGATTAAGAATGTACATTTTGTTTGAATACATATAATAGTTTTTTAATTACCTGCATTTGTCTGGCGCGGCGAGCAGCTCGCAGAGCGCCTGTCCCATCAGCGCAACCTTGTTGCTGAGGCGCACGTTGGCGCCAAGCAGCGCTAGCCCCGCCCAGTGCGCCGGGTGCGCAAAGTGCTTCGTGTGACGCACTGTCTGCATCGCGTCGCCTAACGCCCTGCATGAAAATGAACATAGTATAACAATTTGCATATAATCTTCGTACCTATAGCACTACTGCAGATCCCGCCCAGCTTCGCTTGGATTGCAAAGCTATATTCATCTGAATTTCTTTTGTCATAGATTCTATCGACTGTATGAATTTCATTTTGTAGCAAATCACTCACTTGGCGACGCGACTGCCCTGCAGCAGTGCAGAATACAGTGCTCGGTACAAAATCTTAGTGGCAGTGTCTTGCGGCGCGGGCCACAGCGCTAGTAGCACTGCGTGCGCGCCCGCCGCCAGCAGCGCGCGACAAAGCCGCGACACTCCCGCGCCCAGACCCGACACTGCTGCCACTGCGTCTGTGCTCTCCTCGCCTTCTGATAGCGCTGCACTGGACGGCGCGCATGATATCACCACCTGGGTGTTAAAAGCGAATTGTTGTTTGAGAATAAAACAGTGAATCGACTATAAGAGGAATATCGGAGGAGGATAGACAAAAAATAGTAGAATTCTCGACTTCGCATACGTCACTAATCAACGAGTCAGGTTACATATATCACTTTTGACAGGCAAGTAACTCACCAATCGTGCTGTTATTTTCATGTTCATGATCTCCGAGGCGGTCAGCATAAACTCTGAAGCTGGTGGCAGTTCTTCATTGCTGGGTGGCAACTCAGCATCTAAAAGATTTAAACATTTTATGTACCTAGTTTTATCAAACCAGTAGACATCATTATTTAATTTATGTAGTTATATTTAAACACGTACTTTCTTCTTCATTTTCTATCGATGTATCTGCTGCACCACTGCCCACGCTTGTATTCAAAAGACGTTTCGCTTGAGAATCAACCTGTATAAAATAATAAATAAGTTTTCTGTCTTTGGAATCATCCTAGATATGAATACGGCGTATACTTACAACTTCGCCAGGACTGAGTATGATGGCGGGCGTTTTCCAGCAGACGTGTGTAGCGAAGTGTACGCACTCCGCCTGTGACAACTGCGCTAATACTGCCTCTTTAGAAGCCTGTAGGATAAAGGAAATAGTTTTATTACCACATTTTTATGCTTACCTTTGTAGTCTGTCCGGTGGAATGTGGCATTTGGAAATTTGCAAACGGTTGTTACCTGATAGTCAGTGAGCGGTGTGACGCGCAGCATGTCGGCGACCAGCTCGGCCTCCTTGAGCTGCGCGTGCGCTGCCGGCCAGCGCGAGCCACACACGCGCGCCCCGCCCACCACCAGGCAGCGCATGCCCGCCTCCGCACTGTTGCCTGTTGATGCACCTGTGCACATAAAATATTATTTCAGTTCAAAATTGCAGTATTTAAATTTCGGTGGGACAACAGTCGACATAAATGGGCTCTGTAAAAAGATTGACTCGTTGTGGTGTGGTGGGACCAACCTTGTTCCCGGTCCAGCCTGGCG